TGTATATCAATCTTAAAAGAAAAATGGGATATGCAGCTTGGCTGTGATTATGCGTACTGTACCATACTCAATCAATAAGTATTTTTTTATGAACCCGATTAAACTCCGTAAAAAGCGAGACATAAAATACTATCCCTTAATGTTAATTTCATTTCATTTCATTTATTCATCAATAAATTGTATAAATTCTTGATCAAAGCACAGCATTTTTTTTATTTTGAAAATTTATTATTTAAATTAAAAAAAAAAATAAAAAATTATGTACAATATTGGCTATATAACATTCCGATAAATGGTCTTCATTACAATTTGTGCATTTAAGATACCGTATAAGTAGAATTTTAGGCGAGGATTTAATTTTTGCATTATTAGCGAGGGTGCTGAGATCGCTAAAATTTCATATCGCTAAAAATTATTCGCGTTTTATTTGTAATAGCTTATTTAATGTGCATTTTAAAATCGCTAAAATAACATCTCGCTAAAGATAAATTACCAGATTTAAGGGACAAATCGCTAAATTTGCGTCTCACTAAAATTTCCACTTATACGGTATAAATATTGTTTTTTTCTTCAGGGGCCTAATTAAATAAAACAACAATAAACAAACAAAAAACTTTTTACAATGTAAAATCGGTGTTGTCCTCAGATCCTTACTGATCAAAGAGGAACAACTCTGAAAATATAGGAGATGTTTATTTTCCTCCCTTTATTCACGGTTTTCCATACAGATACATTTACAGCAACACCTGATAAATCCGAGAATTGAATATATAGACCTCATATACACAATGTAAGTATAGAATTGAAAAGAATTGTTCAATAGTACTGAAATTATTTGCATTTATGAATATCCTATTGCAGCAAATAGTTTGACTTTCTGTCACTATCAACAATGTCGGTTCGCATTTCCTCGAATCAAAACAAAACGTAGCCTATAACATGTATAAGATTTTTTTAAAAAAATATCATTTTGCGATTTGATATCAATTGAATTAGATGAAGAGTTCAATGTTTGATATTTTGAAGTTAATGTGGAGGAATACGGAATTTTCATTTTAACTTTAGAAGCAACGGCATTATTCAAAAGAATGCCTACAATATCATGAGGGGTGTACATCTATGCAAATGTCGATGTATCCCCATGGCCACATACTGTCTCGTTTGAAATAATGACATGAAAGAAACTACAATTATTCCATTTATATCACAGGAGAGTTGAACATACGCCATTATTTTAGTTAAAAAATGAAAGAAATAAAATTAAAAATCAACAAAGTCAAGTTCAACATAACTTGAATTAATTCGTATCCAGGTTTCATGTGATCTATAAGGAAGCTTAACGCATCCATATATGGAATAAACACTAAAATCCTTCAGCAATTTTTTCCTGATACATATAAAAACAGTAGTCAATATTTATTCTGCATTCATGAATTTAAAAACTAATGTTTACCTCCGGGATTCAAATGATGAAATACTAGTATATTTGCACTGTAAATGACGTTTCGTCAAACGCTAATGGTCTGCGACGCAAAAAAAGAAGGGTTGGGGGTGGTAGGGGTATTCAAAAATTGCCTAAAAATCTACATGTAATACGCTTTACATGTGAAAACTTTTAAATTTGTAAGTTAATATATTTTTTAAAACAAAAGCAATATTCCAATTTGATTTTTTAAAAATGTATATTTGTAGATTCATAGCAAAAGTGATCGACCCCCGTCTAAAAGACGCGCGGGAAAGTGATTTATTGAGAAAGGGGGAGGAGGTAATTTTTCGATATTAAATCAAAACTGGTCCTACAAAAATTATAAAAAAAATTATGAAGATTATTTTTACTACCAGCTACCTAAAGAAAGTTTTTTACCAAAATTAATCGACAGGTTTTTTCACAAAAAAGATTTTGAATTTGAAAAATACACAATTTTCAAGGCTTAGATTATTCATAGTTTTCCAGTTTAAGGTCTTTAAAAATTCTTTTGATGATATTTATATCAAAAAGATGACTGTGTTTTTGTGTTAAATGGTTTAAGGAATAAGTCAATGAAATTTCACATTTATACAATTGTATCTAACCTGGCTTTTTTAAAATCAAGGTTGTAGTAGTTCATAGATTAACAATTTTCTCTCCTTGTAAATAACTAAAGGGGGGTAACTTTTAGAATTTCCTGTCCAAAAACCACTCGAACGATTTTGTCCAAAATGTGCATACATGCAGTAGATATAGTCATGTACTAAATATACAAAAAAAAAAACGAAAATTAAACGACAGGATTTTTTGGAGGTGGGTGTGTTGTACATCCTTAAAGCATTAGCTATCCCTGAACTGCACAGATCATCTAACATGAAAGTTTTCAGTTGACTACGAATTATTGCAAGATGATTATTTATGCCATTGTTCCGACCCCACAACACCCCAAATATCGACTTCAAAGATCTCAGATCAATAGAGTATGACCACAGCATCACTGTTGAACATTTTGGTTAACCTACCAGTCCAGAATGTTTATCTGAAAGCCTCTTATAATTTTAAGACTGCTAATGCTTTGTAATAAATGTTAGACAGATAATTGCCTCCAGGACGTTAAAAAAGTTGGTGATGGTACAATGTAGTGTAATGATATGGAAAACGGTATTATAAGAAAGTAAGATTAATCTGGTTCGAATTCAATGGTCTTTGATGGAGAAGGGTACTCTAACCATGTTCTACCTACACATACCCATTTAATTTTGCAGCATCATAGAGCCATATTGCAATCTCACAATACACAGCTACATATGGCTCGTTTGAAACACCTATTCTTGCAAATAAATAACAACCTGTTTCAGTCAGAGTCATCTAAAAAGCTAGATTTAATTCAAATCATGCAGCGTTGGACAAAATGGATTGACATGATTTGCCAAAGACAATCGCATCCCCAGACTCTGCAACAGCTGACTAAAGTTCTACATTTGGAGTTGGAAAGTATTCCTATACAGTTTTTATTACACACATTGCTTCCAGTAGATGCCGTTTGTGGCTATCATTTGTGTCTGCGGGGGGCATACCAGATATTAATCTTTAATGGTCTTAAATTGACTATAATTTTAATATCGTTGAGTAATTATGACATTTAGATAGTATTCCTGTTGCTTACCACATATTTCTGTTTTATCAATGAATCAATTTAATAAATAATCTTTATGTTCCATGTGTCACTAAAATACTATTATGCGTTTTTTTTTTTTTTTTTTTTTGGTAGAGTATACATTTATTGAGTTCGAAGGCAGCATTTTGTCGGACCAAAGAACCAAACTGTCTGCTTAAGGTCGTCAGGCCGAAGGTAGACGGTTTGGTTCGAGGGTCGACAAAACGCGTTTTGCCCGAGAATTCAGTCAATAAATGTTTTGTTGTACCTTTTATTTAATTTTCTTTTTAACATACATGTATTTTGTAAGCTGTCTTCCGTGCACGTTGTGTAAAATCAGGTTTGTCACTTTTGAACACCAACGAATGAAAATGAGATTAACCTCCGCCCATTCTTTGACGTAAGCGGTCCAACATCTCATCGATCGGTCCAACATTTCATTCAGCGTCATTCATTCAACATCGATTTTTTTATGCCTGCTCAGCAAAACATTAGAAATGTAAGACTTTTTTCCGTAAAGATTTGCATAGGAACAACTTTCTTAAGGTATAACAATTACTTTATATGAAAAATTATGGCTTGATCAGTAGATATGAAACAATAGCTGAGAAAGAACAAATTTAATATTTTTATTATATAACAAAAATTATTTATCACAACACACACTCTTCCCTTCTTCCTTACCCTGATGGTCGCAACAACTTTTGCAGCTATTAACTTCCGCTATTTCCGTATAAACGATGATTAATTACTTGTGACGTAGCAGTGACGTTGCGGTCTAACAATTCCTTTGTTGGACCGGCAGGCCAGTCAACAGTGAAATTGAAATAAACATTTCTTTTGTTGGACTTTTTATTAGTGATGAATATAATTATATAGAAAGCCATTTATATGGGTATAGCAAAAATATTAAAAAGCTACATATCCCCGATACTTTGATTATTGGGGCATACACTGTAGAAACCCAAAGAAAAACCTAATCCATGGGGGTGATAATGCTTAATACTTAACTTTCTATACTAACCATGCACAGACAAGGGGTACATGTAATTCTTCCCGTTTTCTGCTGTAGGAATTAGTTGTATGTGACTACAGACTATAGGGCTGTTGGAATACTGTGCAGTCATCGTATTAGATGTACAGTGTCTACAGGAAAAATCTTTGAAAATCTTCTTCTCAAGAACAGCAAAGCCACAGTTGGTTATATTTATATGAGAGTATCCCCCTCCCCAGGCCTGGCAGTGTAGATTCAAGTTTATTCAAAACATGCACCCGGGTAGGGCGGGGCCAGAATGGACGATCAAAGTTTAACATAGAAATATAAATGAAACATCTTTGAAAAATATCTTCAAGAACATAAAAGCCATGATTTATCATATTTATTTTGAATCATCCTCGGGTAGTGTAGATTCAATTTTGTTCAAATCATGATCTCCGGGGGTAGGGTGCGGCCACAATGGTTTATCAAAGATTTACACTGCACGAAAAGTCACCTTTTATAATATTTAATAGTTTCCAAAATGTTTACAAAAGATGAACCTTAATCTTTCATCACCTTTTTCACATCAAAAGGTTGACTTTCACCTTTAAATTTTGGTAAGGTGAACAAAATTTCATCTTTTTTCATCTTCTGTAATATTAAAAGTTGAACATTCACCTTTTTCTCTTAAAAGTTGATTATATATCATCTTTCCATCTTTTACAATTGTTTAAGTTCATCTTTTTTAATCTTTTGAAATAATGAAAGTTCACCATTCACCTTCTTTCACTGAAAAGTTAAATATACATCTTTTGTCTTTTAAAATTTATTTACTTTCCATATCAAAGTATCATAAATAAACTTTTTTTAATTGAATAAAAAAAAAGATTTCTTGTTACTTTTTTGTCAAATGACAAATTTATTGATAAAATCAAGGTATACTGCAAGATATTTACATCATATAATCATTAAAACATAGTAGGCTTAATGGACACAAAAGCACGTTAAACTCTACAACTCTATTCTCCATAAGACAAAACATTGTGAGAAATAAATATGCATCTGCAGTAAAAAAAAAAAAAAAAAAGAATTCTACTTTTACAATTTTCTACACCATGTATCTTTCTCTTGGACAAACAATTATGACATCTTTCCCCCTGATGCTATCTGTAGCATATACAAATTTACTTTTTATTCTTTGCACAGGTATAAACATTGATGAAAACTCCTGCTCATATTGTGATTTATACCAGACTTCATCTGGTTTACCATACAAATACCGTATTGAATCCTCAAGACGCTTGATCAAGTAACTTGAGCTAAAAAATGACTTTTTACATTGCCATCCATAATGATGGAATGCTCTAAGAACTTGATAATCTGTCCTGGGTGAGGAGTAAGGTTTTCGTATGTATGTACAAGTTCACCTTCATCTCCACACCACAAAGCTAAAACATATGAGGATCGAACACTTCGACTATGCTTTGAACCTAAAACTGATCCATTTAAATACACTTCATTTCCTAGGTACACATTTTAAAATGATTACAACCATACAAAAATGAATACATATTTTGGAGTCTATCCACCTCGATTTCAGTCAATGTTACACATCTGAATTTTTTTACAAAAATACCTTCATTGTCACTCCAGTCAACTGAAAAAACAGATGTTTGAATTGATGCTTTTTCTATAACACCAATATTTCCAAATGACTTTGATTGCTGGTATAGTGTTCCACGGATATTCTCGGTTTGAAAATTGGACAATTCATTGTAAAATAAAGACAAATTTTGGTCAAAAAACATATCTGTTTGTTTTTCTCTAGCCCAACTTTCTTTCAAATATTTCCGCATAATTTGAGCTTCAATTTGCTTCCTGTTTGTTGGATAAGATCCTAAAATGCCATTCTCTCTTTCAAAATTGAACAACCAAAATGAATAAATTGGGCCAAAGTCAAACAAACAGTCCAATAAATGGCCATGCAAATGCATGTTTGGTGTAACAAACTCTTCACCATAAAGCTGCTCGAACTTTTTACAAAAATCAACTAATAAAAAATCAGCTACTTTAACATTGCCTAAAGAAATATTTCTGGAGCACAATCTTCTGCAAGCCAATACAAATTTCCTCCAACATTCTAAATGACTGTTTGGTATAACATCTTTCAAAGCATATATTGAAAACAATAATGTCCAGTTCTTCCATTGGTCAGCATTAAACGATCCATATGAGGATGAAAATTTCTGTGGTAACTTCCCCACATCAGAGGGACAAGTAAAATTTTCAATCTTTTGCTGAATTTCTAAAAAATCATTTTCACTCAAAACCATTTTTGTTTTCCAAACATTCAGCATATGTTTTGCTGTACCTAAAAATAAATTGTGCATAGGATCAATTATTGTCATTCTTATTGGATCAAAATAATCTAAATCTAAAAGGCATGAAATTCTGACTCCATGTTTTTTTTCCAATGACTCTCTTTCACCCTTTGAAGAACATTTTGAAATTTTTCCACATATTTTCCTATGACAATCATTAGTTCTAGGAGGCCATAAGCTTCTTTCAAATCCTCCAAACTTTTTTTCTCCTAACACACCTGGGAATTGCTTTTCACATTTGTTACAACCTAAATTTGCCATATGACCATAGAATCCACATAATTTCCTGCTTGCAGGAACATCACAGCCTACACACAGGAGAGCTAATCGAAATTTCTTTAACTGATTTTTCGATTTTCTGGATTTTAGAAAAAAGCCATTATGCCAAGCCTCGTTCAGTTCATCAATTAATGGTTGAAGAAATGTATTTGTAGGTGGTTCTTTCTTCATGTCAGGAATAATGCCTATTAAGATTATGTTTTCTCTTTTAAACCTGTCTTCTCTCGGTAAATTCAAAATCGAAATATAAATAGCCCCAACAGAGTAATTTGTATGTTTAAATGGTTGGAACCAGTCAACATTTAACATCAGACCATAATTACCCTCCTCTGTGAAAAAATCAAATTTTGAACCATTAAACTCTTTCCATATATTTCCATCATATATATCATACATCATGCTATTTTCAGTATGTCTAGCTCTCCACATTTCACACTTATCCTCAAAATCCTCACGCATCACAAACACTTGTAAGGAGGACTTAATCGTTTTGTAACAGTACTTTTTAAATGGTACAAAATTTGGAGAACCAGTTTCTCCAATATCTCTAAGCAATGGTTCTCTACATGGTCTACGCATATGTGCAAGTTTGTGATTAGGGAAGCTGATATGGTTACATAGTTTTGATTGCTTTTTACCCTCAATAATGGAAAAACAATTTTCATAATCATACAAAGTAAAACATTTCCGACACACAACATATTGTAAAAATTTGGACCTTTTGTCATCTAAAATCTTTGTCATCCTGTACATGTTTTGTGGAAAAACACTTGCTAATGTTCGAAGTGCAGAGGAATATCTACTTAAAAATTGAAAAATAATTGACAACAGTTTTAACAATGTTTCAACAGCTGAATCTGATATGTAATATATTGATTGCCAAAGCATCAAAATAGTACAAATAAACCGTGTCAATAAATCCATGGATTTTTCATCAGAGAGATGTATCCCTGTGTCTTTCTCCTCATCTGACTGCATAGAATAGTCAGACAGATCTGAATCATAGTCACTGCTTTCTGAAGAATCATCAACCATAAAAAGGTCAGCATCAAAAAATGTTTCAACATCCTCCTCACTAATATTTGGAAAAGTTTTTCCAGGTCTATATTTTTGTTTTGAAATATATTTTTCATAATTTATGGCCTCATCTTCACTAGAAAAGAGCAAATTTTCATTGTTTTCTTGACTATTGTTGTCGTGAATTTCTTCCTGTGCAGAATAAGAGACACTGGTGCACTGTGAAACATGTCGCCGAAAATGCCTGTCTGAAAGTTCCAAATTACACTCTTTGCAGACCTTACGAGGACGCTTTGCTGCAGAAGCCATAATCAATTATCTGAATTAATTAATTAGTAAAATATACACTTCAAATACTTTCAACAATTGTTTCTTTAAAAATAAAATACACTAGTAATGTCATTTGAAAGTGACATACTTTCAATATATAATTTTAAGAAAAAAATATACAAAGGCTAAAAAAAATAAAGCAGTGTCACTTTTGCTTAAAGTAGAGTTAAATACATTTAACACATATTTCTCTTTTAGACATAATGAATCTTAACATTAAAAAATGCAAACAAGACAAAAATTTCTGCTGGTATAATTTTGAAAGATTGTCACGGCAAAAGCTCTTCATCTGCATTCCAAGGTGTTATACCATCTTCTGTAAGACAAAATTGAAATAAGAATTTAATTACTCATGCCTTGAAACAAAATATTCTTAACCATGACAAATTAAGAATATTTCAGTCAACATATTTTAGTACTGAGTTAGGATTCTACTTCAAGTTCATAAATGGATATGATATAATAAAGGTAAATTAAAGAAACTCTGACAGCATGTTTAGTTAAATACTGTTATTCACCTCTTTAAAACTGCTTAGCTAGAGGATTATTTCAACTGAAAACACCTCTTCACAGCAAACTGGCAAGAGGATGTCGATTTACAAAGTAGTTATTAATGAGTTTTCACAAATATAAAAAGTAATTTTTTAACAAATAATTTTTTTTATTGGTCACCTCTCCATATCTGCCTGGCAAGAGGATCATTTCAACTGAAAACACCTCTCCATGGCAAACTGGCACGAGGATTCCATCACTGCATGTAAATCCCTATATCTAAGACATTTTTATTTATATATCATTTATACTTAAAGTAGTTTAACGAAAAAAAATTCTGTGTCTTGGTCACCTCTCCATATCTGCCCGGCAAGAGGATCATTTCAATTGAAAACACCTCTCCATGGCAAACTGGCACGAGGATTCCATCACTGCATGTAAATCCCTATATCTAGGACATTTTTATTTATAAATCGTAGATACTTTGAGTAGTTTAACGAAAAAATACTGTGTCTTGGTCACCTCTCCATATCTGCCCGGCAAGAGGATCATTTCAATTGAAAACACCTCTCCATGGCAAACTGGCACGAGGATTCCATCACTGCATGTAAATCCCTATATCTAGGACATTTTTGTAATACATCATAGATAAGTCTTTTTAATTTAAAAATATATATTTAGATATATATATATATATATATACCATTCATGACTTTCATTTTTCTCTATGGCTGCTACTCTTTTTTTAGCATGGTGTATTCCTTGAAGCGGACATAGAGAGGATCGGATTTGAATGTTATTAAGTTTTTGTTTTTTGAAATACTTCTTGCAGTAGATGTTGTTTCTGATGGTGTTGGTGATCGTGGTTCAGTTGATGAAGAATATAATGTAGTGTTGTCAGGACATGATGATGCAGTGCAAAGACATATGTGATTTTTTTTACTTGCTTTTCTCAACTGTTTTCTTTTCTCTCTGTTTTCATCACATTTCCTATGGCGGTATTTCTTCCTCGCTTCAATTCCGTGTTTGCCCATATTACCCTATGAAAATAAATTTTTATATGTTTATGTGCTTCACAAAAATAAAAACTTATGTCGATATAATATAATCTCTTCTAAAACCCTGTAATACTTTCTTCAATTGCAATGTACACATGTATGTGTACAGCTGAAATTAACAAAGTCTATGACTCACTTCTATCATCGAATACATTTTTTAAAGCATTTATTATAGGTGTAGAAGGAAAACATATATAATTTACAATTGGATCATCAATTTAGACCCCTGTATAACTTGTCAAATGCTCCAATTACTGAGCAAGCCTACCCAGACCTACAGCCAGTCCTGATATTCCAACAAATAGACAACAATAACAGAAATATTCATTGACCCTATAATAAATCATATACATCTTTTTGTTATTGCCTTGCTAAAGGACTATTTTTGGCTTTTCTGCTGCCTTGAAGCTTCAAAATGGATGCATGCATACATGCATGTACAAAGGCGATACAAAATCAAACAGATTATTTATATTTTGATCCAGGTTAAAATTGTTTTAGATTTTAAATTTAAGTCTAGAAAAATAACTTTTTTTTTAAATTACAATAAGCTTTCATGCTTAATCAAAATCTTAGATTACCTTTGTTCCCTGACCAAAATTTTCCACTTGCAAAGCACATGGAATGGGTGATGTCATACCCTGGGATGGGGTTTCAGGAGTTCCTGCAAGATGCATAGATGCCTAATTAAATTTCCGGTTTATTTTGCCGCGCGGGATTTCCAATCGTTTCAATTTTTTGTCATCAACAAGATAAAAATCAACATCAGTATGAGTCAATGTTTCGATTCCGATAGCATTGAATTTAGTGATGATGGATCTAAAAGTGAAAACGAACATTCTGAAAAACCCTCTACCTCAAAACAGGGACAGGAGTACGTCTCCAAACCAAAAAGGCGCCGGTTTACATGTCCGCCACCCATCTTTGAATCTTCGGATGAGGAAAATGGTGCACGAGAGTGTCAGGTAATTTGGACTGTTGAACGTCTTCACATTATAAATGTTTTTTTTTCTAAAATATACAGCTGTATATCATTTACTTCGCCCACACATATATGATTCACTGGGCCTAGAAACTTCTGTATTTTGTGTTTACGATGAACCATGGCGCAGATGATGATGCTCCTCTACATCAAAGACTGTTTTGTAGACAGCTGATAGAGGATTCTCGAGTTGAATGTTAGCTGAATAGTTTCGAAATCGTATATGTTCAAAACAAATGATCAGAGGGAATCATCTTTAACTTATTAGCTAATAATTAAAATGGTCTTCGAACTGTTTCACCTTTTTCAAACATAACTTCACCTTTTGTTTTCCAAAATGCGAAAACAACGCGCAATGCAGACTTTCGGAACATGCAGTGCGATGGGTTCCGAGTATTTCTGATTTAATCTACTTTCGTTTTTAGGACGCTGTAGCTACGGTAACACCAAGTGCATCAACGCCAGGTTCTTCAACGCCAGTAGGAGAAAAAGGAAACACAGTCAACACTGAAAAAACCGACACACCTGTGCGTGGAGAGAGTAAATGCAAGTAGATCAATGTGATCCGACATTCCTTTAACCCCCACTCATTTATAATATTTATAACGTATAGAGTGCGCACATATGTTAATTACAATCATTCAAGGGGCAGAAAAAAATTGCATTATCAGAAATTTTCAGAAGATATAGAGAATTTATTCAAGATTTATGTCAAAAGCTATTTAATCTGATGTTTCTATATTTTTATGTCACTTTGATTAATAGGAATTCATATGCACATGTAACTGTATTCATTAATTAAAAACAGGTAATACTTCCAGAAAAAATAAATAAATATTGGTTTTATCTAGCAATATATATTTATATAGTCAATACAAATGAAAAGGTAAACTTTTACTTATATTTTAATATTGTATCCAAATAAATAGACACAGGCGCCTAGCTAAATGTTACTTATTTTTCTTACATAAAAAAAAAATCAACACCAGACCTATGTATATATGGGGTTATATTTTTTTCATGGGAAAAATAAGTAATGTCAGGGACTGTGTAAATAGTTGATATTTTTTATCACTATAAAGTACTGACATAAGGTTTTTTGACATTTTTTCACAATATATCACAGTACTTTTAAGTTAAATTAAGATTTAATTAATACTTAGTGTTAAAAGTGTAATATGTCATCATCCAACATTTGTTGATAAAATGTTTTGAATTATTAATTTTAGCATTAAGAAGTGTTCTTGACACACTTCTCAGACAACAAAATGAAATCCTTGAGAGGATAAAAGTCCTGGAGAATAAAGAGCAGGAAAAAGAGGCTTCCAGGGAGGAAAAAATTCATGTTCCCCCAAGTGTACGGGTAAATGATTTAATTAAATACATGCATAGCCATACGTGCCTCAATATATAAGACAATATTATTTTTATTTAAAAAGTCCTCATGTTTTTTATAAAATGTGTACTATCTAGCTATCACAAGTATAATTTTCTGCTATCTTTTTCTTTCCCTAAAACTGTACTGGCAGAATGCTGTTAGAGATGGATACAGCGATGGGTTAAAGAGAGGTTTCATCTGGAATTTTGAGAAGAAAAGGTTTGTTTCTCAAGTCTGTTACTTGCTCTAATTAAAGTTGCAATAAAATAAATAATTTTCATATATGTCAGAGAAAAGACATAAGCAGCCCAAAATAATTTTATGTTACTTATTTTTATGATTTTAATTATTAAAATCTTCATTAATGTACTTTATGTGTAACTGTTATTTATGAATGGTATTAGGTTATTGAGCATTTAGGAAAGAAAAGTCATGAGTTAAATGAGTGACTTTTTTCATACTAATTGTTAGTCCATTTATACACTGAATGATGACAGATTTTCCTGTTATTTCCCGATCATGACAAGGAGCACACAGCGGATGTGACCGGTTGGCAGGGGATGCTCACTCCTCCATTGCACCTGATCCCAACTCTAATGTTTTTGAGGCCATGTTTGCTCTGCTCCTATTTTGAATTGTTTGTTATCTCCATATCTTTCATAATCTGCATTTATGATAAAAACTATTTATGAAATGACACATTTATACAAAATAGACCACAAGATGATGAAAACCAGGAGATGTCCTCACACATATCCACTTTTGTCAAAGGATGGAATACCACAGTAGAAGAGAGGATAATTCAATGTAAGTTTAAATGAAAGAACAATTTACACATGTGTTTTGCTAACATATATGTATCTGTGTTTTTATTTCCATGATTTGATTTTTTTTCTACATGTAATAAGTAATAATTATTTTCTATTATCAAGGTGGTCTGCGAAGATATTTCCTGTCCAAAAAACAGGAAGATGTTTTATCTAAGAAGAACAAGCTGCAAGATCAGAAGCAGAAGAGAGTCCTGTATGAGAGGAAGAAGGAGGTAATAATACCATTTAAACATGATTATTAAAAAAAAAATAATGATTTGATCAGCACATATTCTTTTTCTTTTTTTTTTAAATTGACAATAATCATTCAAAATTACTTCTAACTGCAGATAAGTATATTGTGTATACATATGTATTGTCTCTGAATTAGTACTGCATATGTATAACATAATTTAATTCATATATACATGGCCTTTAATAGTGCTTTATTAAGTGAAATTTCAGTGATGCATCATTATGATTAGGTACTCAAGATTGCTGTTCTCTTGATGTCCTAGCTTTTACATCATATTTATCTTTCTCAGAAAGCAAAGCGCAGGACTCGGGCCCTAGAACATCTGAAAAACAAGGGTTGGCAAACTGAGCAGAGGAGGGCCCAAATAATGAAAATATTGAAGGTGGAATACACCTCCAGTGATGAGGAGTGTGAGGAGGGGTTTGTTACTCATCCCCCATCTTGGCAGAGTGACACCTTTGCCAAGGTCAAGAGTACCTTGGACAAGGTATATCTTGAGACCTGCTCTGTGAAGAGCAAACGCTTACTTCAAAAGAGACGTATTGGAGGTAGTCACGTTAAGGAGCCCCCTACTATTCCAGAGGAGTGTTTGTGGATGCTAAAAAAAGATTAAAGAAGAAAATTAGAAAATAAGAAAAGCATATCATTCTGTTTATTTCTTTTGGCATTTTTGAATGAAAAATCCATCCTAATACATGACTACCTCCACTACTCTTTTACATTATTCTGCGGTTAAAGAAACCTTACATGTATGTATACACATCATTTATTTACTCAATGTACATTTTTAAACTGAATATTTACTACATGTATAATGTAAAAGAATTTTTCCTACTTTTTTTATTTTTTAACCATTTAAATAATTTTTCACAAAATCTTCGTCCTTTTGTTAATTTGGTTTAATTAACAAGATCTTTATTTATTACAGATGATTATGTAAATAATTATAGTAAAACTTGGTTATAACAAGGTCAATGGGTCACAGTAGCTGTAAAATTAAACATCAAAATTTACGAAGTCAATTGCTACAATTGAATGAATATAATATAGGGCGAAATCAACTTTTTATACATACAGTCTGGATTATTGAAATTTGCTTGATTTTTTAGGCAGTAAATGTAACTCAATATTAAATATGCCTTGTATAGCAGCATCATTAATTTAGAGATCTGATTAGGACAAAGGCATCAACATATATACTTAATGTATATATGTATTAGTTTTAGTTACGGTATTCCTTCAAAGTCCCACACTTGATAGTTCAATGCTGTATTTTATTTTTTTTTTTATTATTATTATTTTGTTTCTCTGTTTTATTTGTTTATTTGTATAAAAATTTAAAATGAGATTGTTATTTGATACTTAACTTTATATGTATCCTTAATCAAGCTGATGGATCACAGTACTTTTATTATACCATTAAACTGATAAAAAATGTGGCCAAATGTTTTTATTTTATGTTTTTACATGGGAAAGGATATTTAAGAGCATTGATCCCTTGCTTTTGAATGCCATGTTAAAGTGGAGATTTAGGGGTTAAAAAAGTTTTGTTGACATAAAAAAGCTGCATAAAAGTTGAAATTTTGTTAAATCAAAAGATCTGCAAAAGTTGCAAAAGATGACCTTTTAGTTTGAAAAGGTTTATAAAAGTAGATCTATCAAAATCTGAAAGGTATAAAAAAGTAGATATTTTTAATAAAAAAAGTTACAGAAAAGATCAAGTTTTGTAAAATGAAAAGGTTAAAAAAGACAGTATTTTTCTCCAAAAGATGGATAAGATATAGTATTTTGATGCAAAAAAGGTGTATAAAAGTGGGCCATTTGGATATCTTTTTTGGATACAAAAGCTGATCAAAATTTGATCTTTTGTACCTTTCATAGAAAAATTAAAGGCGCATGAAAGGTGTCAAAAGGTGAATGAAATGTGGCCTTTTGTTTACCTTTTGGATATACAAAAGGTGGTTTTTCGTGCAGTGTTACATAGAGATGCATGTATATAGGAAAACTTTATCTTCGTCTAAAGAACAGCAAAGTCATGATTGATCATATTTTTATGAGAGCACCCTCAGGTAGTGTAGATTGAAGTTTGTTCAAATCATGACCCCCGGGGGTAGCATGGGACCACGAGGACCATTAAAGTTTTACCTAAAAATATAAAGGAAAATCTTTTAAAAAAAATTCTTCTCAAGAACAGCAAAGCCATGATTGGTCATACTTTTATGAAATCATCCTCAGGAAGTGTAGATTCAAGTTTGTTCAAATTGTAACTCTGGGCTAGGGCTGACCACGAGGGACATTACATTTTAATATTCAAGAAAAAAACTCTTGAAAAAAATCACGGACACATGTACAGCAAAGCCATGATTAATCATTTTTACCTTGAAGCATCCTCAGGTAATTTAGATTTCATCTTCTTCCCATCATAACGGTCGGGGAATGGGGTCACCGATTTAAAGGGTAAAAAGCCATAGTTAGTCAAAGAAATATGCAGATATCTTTGTTATTGTAGATTCAAGTATTCAAGTTTCTTCAATTCATAGTCAGGTGAGCGATGTGGCCCATGAGCCTCTTATTTATTTAATGTTCTTCGGAAAAGCTATAATTTATCATCGATAAAATGTATTTAAGTTTTTTTTGGTTTATGAAAATCTAACCGCTTTCATTTAAAAAAAAAATTAATTTAAAGCACTCCGAGAGTATGAACTAGTGCCCTACTGAAAGGTTTATTCGAGTTCCCATTAAAAAAAAAATGAAACTAGATACGATCTCGTTGCGAGCAACGAGTGGGTCTTCCGTCCAATTCTTGATGAGATGAGATAAGATTTTGATTGCGATTTTTATTCTACAATAATGGTTTACCACAATCTGTAAAAAGACATTGAACATTAAAGACTTAAAAAATCGGCCTTTTGCCCCTTACGGCCCCTAAGTTTAGGAATCAGCCCTTTTTATTCATATCATCTCAAAGCTCTTAAGAT